GGCATTGCTAGATCCCGACGACAGATGCTCGCGCGGAGGCGGGACACGGTCACGCAGTGAATACAGTTATCGATTGTCTTCGCCTCCCCTCAATTAGGGTGTGACGTCAGGGCGGAAATTCTAGTCAGGCTGCATCTGAAGTTATTTTCGTCCTTAACGCGACAACGATGAGTTCCCCGATACTCATCATCATCGGATGGGAAAACTTCCTTAGATATTTCCAGAGTCAGTAACTTGCTCGCGCACTCTCTCAACTGCTCCCAGGGGCGCCGAGTATTATCCAGAAGGGGAAAACGGGGGTCACAAGCTCGAACGGATGCAAGGGAAACTTTCCGCTCCGTCTCCTCTTCTTTCCGCGGATGATGATCTGGGAACGGTTCGAAGGTCATCCGATTCTAGCCCAAATTTTCAGTTCAATTGCTATCGAAACGTTAATCAAAGACAACACAGTGGCCGATGGGAACAGCGCTCCGACCGGTTGTTGGAATCCTTCCACGTCACTCTGTGGGAAGAGTATTCCGTTTTGCATAACGGCGGAGATTAGTCGTCACCGGGGTCAGCAAATCGCTTGACAAGTTGAAACTGTGCGAACTTGTTAAGGCTATCGGATTTTGTCGAAGCGATGTGTCGACAGAGTCGTACCTATTCTCAGAGTAACCAACTCGGCCAGATATCATCAGGGAAGATCTTCAAGGTTCTTCGGTGTGGTGTTCCAGCGAAACGAGTTGGGTTCTGGGCTGGAACTGCTCGAACTAAATGCCACGGCTGTCGGCGCTGCGTTGAGACGCACCAAGCTTGGCCCAGATGAAGGACGGACCCCAAACGAGAACCGTTAAGAATACGACAGAAGACGAATCGAGGCGGATCGGTGAACCGCAAATGAACAAAGACAAGTCGCAGGTTAACAACTTCATCCGACTCGTACCCAGATGAATTTAATCGACCCTCAAGCTCCTCATTCACGGCTCGCGGCTCCGTGGTTTTCAGAAACACGCAACGTCGCCTCGTCAAACCGAGCGACCCTTAGCGCTGCCGTCGGTCGTAAGCGCCCTGAATCCTAAGCCATGGATAAAATGCGAGGTTAGGATCGTTCCAGAACTGATGGACTCGATGCGATGGTGCACACCTGATCGCGGAGGTGGCGAAACTAGCGCCAGAAACGAAAGCAGACTGATGTTCAATTTGAACGTACCGTTTAATGGATCTCTGACGAGAAAACTTCTGGTTGTCGGGGGCAGATGTAGTTTTCAGTATCCTAAACGAGTCGCGGACCGTGGAAATGGGACTGTTTATCGGCTTCCAAAAATCGTTCCGAAGCCTCGGCTGATTGAGTTTTGACCGTCCTCGCGCTGCCTCATCCTTCTCTGAGTGAGTTTATCAGATTGTCTGCTGAGACACTGATATCTTCGCGATTTACGTCCCCATGACCGTGACGGAAAAAGTCGAAAACGAGTGGAAGAAAACGATTTCGAATGGTTGTTCAACTCCGCTTCCAATGCTTCCTCTGGTGTCTGTTGACATCAGCTCCTAGCTGCATCCATTAGGAAGCTTTAATTACTTTCTCCTCGGCTCTGCTCCTTCCCGGTGTCTCATGGCTGTATTGAAAATTATTCTCATGACTCATGAGTTTCAAGTTATTTTCGAATCTGCGTCCCCTGCGCAATGTGGTGAGTTCATGATCATACAAGCAATCTCGTGAGAGTTATTCCGAATCGAAGTCGTACAAAAATAACTTGTGTTCTTTGTCCGTGTACATGGAGGCACAAGAAGAGATTAATTTTTATGATCCATTAGGGCGTTGGACGATCTACCCCATGAGCTGCGATTTTTTCGGGGTCGCGGGACTCACTCGGCGTGGTTGACAATGTTTTGAAAGCGAAAGTACATGCGAAAGACCATACACGAATGAGGTGTTGATTAAAAAGGACAACTTTTCTCACGAGGGTCGTGTCAACTTGAGCCACATGCAATTTCCGCTGGACGAACGAGTTTTTCTCATATCGGTCTCGGCTCGGGCAAGCAAAAGCCATAGAGATTCTCGCCATTCGAAAAGTACAAGATTGTCCCGCTTCCCTCATGCACTCGTTGACTAGTGATGATGATGTAGACACTGCCGCCGAATTCCCCGATTCCCGAAGTTTGGTAGGAATTTTCTGATCCGAGGATCTTTGCGTTCCTCTGATCCCCCGAGGAATTATCACATCGGCTTATGTTACTCCGTCGGTTGTTTCTCGAGACCAGATAACTGAAAAAGGTCGAATCGTTGCGCATTGTGGAAGGAACTTCCTTGGCTCCTCGCTCTAGCCACCGCGAGAGTCGCGCGCATACCCCCGGATATCTTCCACCATTTCGCTGCATCCATTCAGCCTCACGATCAGCATGCATTGACCGGAAGCTACGACCCCCGAGGATGTTTGACAGAAACGTCATGAGAGCCCCACGTCATAACTTTCTCACGCGCCTTTTCCCTTAATGAAGAAGTCACCTCTCGCTGTCACCGCTTCCGTTGCGGTCTTTGCTGTGCGCATTGTTGCCCGTGTTGAAAAGTCTAGAATTTGCAAACGGAATGTAACAAATACAGACTGAGGAAAAACCGCGAAGCGGTTTCTAGCCGTCCATTCCTGACAGTGGAGTGCCGCCATGTGTAGCTCGACCAGAAATTCCTCCGACATCCTTCAAAGCATCTTTCGGCTTCTGGGGTCGTGAGAAAAAGCGATACCGGATCCAATGAGAGGGTAGCAAACATCATTCAGCATTCAGTCTTTCTTCAGTCAGCTCTGCACAGAGTAAAAGTACTGGAGGAGCTCCTAATTGGCAAAGTCGGAAGTTCCCGCTTGCGATGGGAGTTGATCGCGATGGTGATTGTAGGGGCCGTACTCAATTCAGTGAAGTCAGGCACCTCACCAGCAAAGTAGGTGGCGGGCGATGCGATTGCACGCAGTGGTCAGAAGGGAATTGGGCGTGGATCGCCCCGCGAGTCGGGATTTTGGAAATTGGAGGCGATAGTATGGTTTTTCGAGGATTTTCGTCTCCCCCTTCGCCAATGTGAGTCACCCCGACTAGTAAGTCGATCATTCGATCATCTTGCTTCTGTGCGCACGCCTGATTGAGAAAATGTATTTCGAATAATAGTTTGGGAGGAACGTTACTGCCCCATTCTAAGCTCGATCTTCACAAGGATTCCTCTTCTCGATGATTGAACCACCGTGGCTGGCTTCCCGCTCGCCATCAAAATCCCATCGTATCCTTAGTGACATGCTGCTGTTCTCGTCCCTCACGTGGACCGAATACAATTTCTATGGCTCAGAATTATTCTCCGTCATGCTCCCCCTCTTCCGTTCTTAGGCTCATTTTTCCTCCGATTTTAATGTTTAGTTCAGAGAATTCGATCCGGCCATCTACCGAACTTCCGCTAACAGTCAACCTTATCGTCACCGGACGGGAGGGAACGGACAAAATTCATTGTGTTCACCTTGGCTTCCGATCAGTTCCGTCGAACGGGTCATATAAGCTATCGATCACCATCGTGGTCGGCTGGAAGTCGATTTCATCAATCCGACCAAACAAATGGTTATGTCGATAGCTCCCCAGAACCTGCTGCGAGCCGCTGCAGGAGAGCTGGTCTTGCTGACTACACGCAGGATCCTGGGATGCACCGCGGTGCCTTGAGCGCTCCTTTTCTTACGAGAACGCTTTGGGCGCTCTGGACTATCTGCGGGAGGGGGAAGGGGGTGGGCGACCTCTCGTCCGGTGAGCGTCACTTGTATAACGGGTCGGCTGCTAACTCGAAATCTTGCGAAAGAGCAGCCTGATACTCAGCCTCTTCTCTCGGAAGCGTATACCCTGCTTCCACCAATCCCTACGCAACACTCCGTGACGACGAGCGATCTCGTTGCTCAACGAGCGAGGGGTCTGCCCCTTCCGTGTTAATGGCCAATAAATTACCAATTAATTATAGTTTATTCAATCAGCAATTTTCCACAGTCATCGAAGTTCCAACATATAACACATATAACACAAAAACCACGGCGTCTCCATGCGTCGGCGTCCCTCGGATTCCCGGGCATATCTCCGCAGAGGACCCCTAGACAGACTCTCGCTGTCAGCTATGCGGACAACTCTGACCGAAAAAACTCCCCTGTTTCACTTCACGCTCAGCAGAACGATCAAGTGGACAGCAATCTGAATTCGATGCAAGATGCCACGTGTCCTTCTGCGTCGGTCCCGCCGCGAACTCAAGAAGAATAATGATCGATTAATTAAATCTCGATGGTATTAATAAGCGCGCTCATTGTTTATTCTCTTCCCGTGGCAGAGTTTTCGACTTGTTCTTATAATTTTCTGGACTCTATAATATACTTTGTCGTGTCATAATCTCTCCGCTCTATTAAAAAACAGCGGGTGTCTTCGTGCATCCTTCCATTCTCGTCTGCGACTCTCTCGCTAGTCTGACCTCGCGACATGCGTGAACGTAGCCTTTACACTTCGATCTACGTCTATTATCTTTAGTTGCAGGTCCTAAGGCGTAATAATACCTGAAATTCGAATATCCATCCGCGACGATCACCTCCCGGATTTGAAACAGCACGTCAATTTCTTCGATTCAATAATCTTCCCGGCTGTGACGGAGGCGAATCAGAGCCACACGCGGAGACATAGGCAAAACGAACGAAGTGGAGAATTATCCATTTCAAAGTAAATCAACATAATAGCCGCCAGCAAAACAAATTTTAAATACAATATGATGAAGTATCGGCGCATTGGGCTACGTCTTATAATGATAATATTGTTTCCAGTCCACAGTCATTCTCGTCTGAGGAAACAGCTGATTCCAGGAAATTATAGGCAACTCGAACCTAGTTTTGAATGTATTGCGGGTCACATCGTGATTCACCGGTCTGATGCGAAATCATATTGAAAAGCTCCATTGGTTGGTCGATTGAGCGACGCTTATGAATAATCCGAAATGGAAATATTAAGCAGCGATTAAGTTTTTTTTCAGAATGTGCCGGTGTTGTTTCTGTCATTGATACGACCCCGTTTCCCTCTGGATGCACCCGCAGAAAAACGGCACCATTGGCTCATGACCGGAGCTACGAGCTTTATGAGCTGTGGACGATCGTCGAACACACTCAACATTCACATCCCGACCCCCCCGGAAGCGAATTTCGGATTGACCGACTGCGGGGCGCGTCCGAGCGAGGAACCCGCGATTCGCTCACAACAGCGGGTGACATTCTCCAATCGCTGATGGGTTTGACAGTGCGTCGGAGGTCCTTTGCTCTACGGTCGTAGATGTAAGAGGCAATGAAAGATCCTATCGCGAGCTCCACTGCGTGTTTTCTGTCTGAGCTCCGATCTTTGTTCTCTGGAGGTCACTGCCACCCGTAAGACTCACAAGTAGGCACCGAACGGAGCAAAATACTCGCGTGATTCGCGTGCAGGGCTCGCGGTGATAGTAGGCGGCCTGGCGTTCCGATGAGTGGACGGTCAAGAAATTCAATCACAAAGGCGAATAATTCATGAAGCAGTTAATGGCTAAATGATGATGCTAAATTGAAGGGAGAGGCTTCGGAGGAACTTCGCGGGGAGGTGACGCTTCCTTGTCAGAGAGCGGGAAGAACCAGGGTGGGAGGCGGGGAGGCAGTGTGAGAGTGATTTGGCACATTTCGATGGATAACGGTTCCGAATACGATTCAATAATTATCGACCAGAGATGGAGGAACGAAAATAGGAATATTTCCGCTCCGAATTCCACACGCCGTCATCGAATCAGAGATCAGATCTGCCCGTGATTGTGAGTCTGAGCCACAGGTGTCGAAGCCATAGCCACCGGTCACAAACCCGTCCTCGGATGTGTTGCTCGAGCTCGATACTCGAGCGACTCCATATTTCGATTTCTTGGATCTAGGTGACTTATTCGCTCGTTCAAGCAGACTCGTTTTCGATGCAGGCTTCAGAAAGCGTAATCGTCATCAATCATCACACACGTGCTCACAGTCCGTTTAGGATTAGCCAACAATCAGCGACAGCTCGGAGGGTTTTCCTTCGATGAGCTCTGACCCCCTCTCCCGCATAGGAGCAGGTGGAGCGTAAAGAGCTGTGAACAGGCGGGCAGAAGTGAAGGCAACGACGTCCACGGGAGTAGGACGCAGTGAGGTTTGTGATTGACCTTCGCGGTTAATTGCCGCAGTTTCTTTGCCGCTGCATCTGTTCGTGATGTCATCGAGACAGTTCAGTACTGTATATCGAGAGTTCAATTCTAGGTAGCGATAGAAATCCACTTCGCCGTGCTATTGCCCAGCTTCATTGAGGAACATTTGACGCAGCTCCGTTCGGGGCTCCACACGCTCCTGATCCAGTAATCGACGAACACGAACCTGCGGGGGAGAAATCTTCATTACCGGAAGCCTTCTCCCGGTGACATCGACCAGATCTCCTACTGATTATTGCATCGAGTCTATGAATTTCTAATTCCACACCCTTGGATCGGGATGGCTCTCAGCTTACCTAAAACAGCGGATGTTGTGGCGGTTGGCTGAGACGTCTGCGAAGTCAGAGCTTGGCTCGACCCTTGACTAGAAGAGCCTTGCGATCCTTGTCGCTCGAGATTAACGCCGAGAGAACCTCCTGTGAGGGCTCCACCGGTGAGAGTCCCGAGAGTGTTATGTCGTTGCTCGTATTCGCAAACCTGAAGAGGGAACGGGTCGGCTACAGTTATTATACATTTGCACTAAGAAGGTAAGTTGAAGGGAATACCCGAGAACGGTTATTCGGGGGAGGACCAGACATCGAGGAATAGTCCACTCCGATTCCGTGATCGCGTCTGAATCCCAGACGGAGTCCATCGCGACAGAGACCCACAGCGGACTTCGCCCCTATCATTGGCCAACGACCATAATGATCTCATCGCTCTAGGAGCTAACCCGACTACAGGAGCCGGGGTGCGACCGGAAGCAGCGAACGCAAGTCAGCAGTCTTCGAAAGCTGGGAGCAGCTAATGACAAGAGCCTTCTCTGCATCTAATCACGGCCCAGCGAACGGCTACCCGGCCACGCGAATGGTCAGCCGGGCGGCCAACTCGTCTCGATATCCCACGAGCCACGAGATCCAAGCTAGCTTGACAGATATACGCAGGAGTCTACGAATACGAAAACGCTCAGGAGGGAAATCGTGATAGCGTACCTCCTGATAAATCAGAGCCTTCCACTGATCCACTGTGTGCTCGCGTTCGTCGACTGAATGGTCGTAAGAAGCTGGCGCCGGCGCATTTACCTCTTCCTCATCGTACCTGCGGACAGATATCATCAGAATCAACTCGAACGTAATCGCAGCCTCGACAGAGGAGGAGCATCGCATTGGCGAGGGTTTTTCGTCCGGACATGAACTCACCAAATATTGATGTAAGAATGTTCGAGAGCTTGGTCAACACTAATGCGTCGGTCGGGGTCTATGACAAGCATCTTGGAGAGGAGATCCCTAGCCTGGCTGGCTTTGAGCCTACTGTGCTCGGTCGAGTCGCCGGGGAACAGAACGTCTGGGAATAGCTTCTCGAACGAGTAGCCGGCGTATCGTGGCCGGTTTTCGACGTAGTTTCGCACAGTGGGCTGCAATCTCCTCATGAATTCTCTGCTCGGTGTGCCCAGTTGCTCAATAATCTTGTTCCACTGGTCTATATGGTCAGATCCCGGGAACAAGACGGCGCCTCTGATCATTTCACCCATGATGCAGCCGACCGACCAAATGTCCACATTTTCCTTGTAACCCATCCCTAGAATAACCTCCGGTGCGCGATAATAGCGCGTCACTACGTACGGGGTCATCATGAAACTCGTACCAGCTGTCCGCGCCAGACCAAAGTCCAGGATTTTTAAGGTACAGTCACTCTTTACCACGATGTTGGACGGTTTCAGATCACGATGGATTATCCCTGTGGCAAAGGTGACGGCTCGATTAGATCGTATCATTCTCGGGAATCGAGTCAATCACAACAAAAACAGCGTCGGTCTGTCTCCGTTGAGCCGACGCCGGGCTTCGATACGATGGGACGATAAGCAGAGCGAATTTCACTCACCGGCAGAGTGTAAGTGCTTTATTCCACAAAGCGTTTGATAAAGAAGGTATGACATCCTCTCATGATCCAAGTCCATCTGTATCACCTATGGGAGGAGAAGAGGTTTCTGAGCGGTGGAATTTTCTCCATGCTCGGGGGCAGAGCCGGCGCTGCGGAGCACGAGTTCCCGGAATGCGAAAGCTGTTCCGCAGTGGCTCGTTTCGCGGTTCTCGCATTAGTTTCGGCGACCCATTATCATTGACCTCTCCGCATGTCGGCGGAGTTTGGCTTCCGGAGTCGATCACGGTCACGCTTGTTGTGACCGCAGTCATAGAAAGAGGTCTCGACGAGCGAAGATGGAAGAATTATATTTTGGGGCACCTCGAAATTCGAAGCTCCTCTGATCCCGGCTCTGAATCTGACGTTTCCCCCTCTACCGAATCTCGATGAGTCTCGCAGAATCGGGGTATAGGGGAAATTCATGAGCGATTTGCCGAGGAATAATTATCCTCGAGGTTCACATGGACTCGCTCGACTGACAATCGGAACAAGAAACGGGAGGACGGACGGAAAGTTACTTTCTCTTACCTGGCAAAGGTTGGCATCCATCAATTCCATGACAAGATACACATCACTGAACTCCTCCAGGGACTGTTGAGGGGTGAACGCGTTCAGCAGGCCTGGAAAGACAGATTCTTGAATAGATTCCTGTGCCCAATCCTGGTCTAAAGCGGCAGACGTCTACACGGTCCTCCCACGAGTGTCACGGAAACTCCATGGAAAGTGGGTTATCCCGTCTCAAACATCTCGCTCTGAGAAACGTTGCGGCTCCCGTCACCTCAGTGACCGTGTATGTACATATATGTCCCGTTTCGACACGTCGGGTCCGTGCTCCGCATGATTTTCCGATAAATAATTCATGATCCGATTCGTCCCATCCGCCGGATTCCAGCCGGTGGACTCGTAGAATGCGTCGCGCAAGCAAAACTCCAGTAGAGAAACCCACCGCAGTCCCCGAACTGTGAAACGCTTCAGAGAACGACTTTCCTGTGGGAGAATTAATTGAATGCGGTCGGGACGCGGTCGTTTCACCCCGGGGAAGAGAATCGACAGGAAATGTCACGTCCTGACCTAAGCCCCCAGTTTCTCCCGGCACACGAATATGGCGCTGAAGCGTACGATTCCCGTCATCCGGGACATGAATGGATACGAATTTCGAGTCCGACTCGTGAAGATTCATGGGAAGTGAATTATTCGAGTGAGAATATTCCGAAGCGGGAGTCATTCGCGAGTCAACAGCGGAGGTTGCCCTTAAGAGCGATGCGAGCTAATTTGAACGCCTACGTAGCTGTAGTGAGCAAAAAGTACTGAGCTCGAATTCATGCAACATGCTATCGAGATCACGCGAAGATCGCTACGTGTGTGGTTATGAGAATCGATTAAGCCCTCGCACGGCGATCTATCCGGGAGCCACAAGCTTCGCACACCGGCTGGATCAGATACTGAAGGGCTCACAGGGAGTTGGAAATTTGTTTCTTCTCTAGTTTTTCGATTTTCTCCCCACGAATTCGCGCACAAAAATAGATTGCGATGCTGCAACTCGCAACGTATCGTTGAGCGCGCCCAATAGCGATCTCGTCTGAGCGATCGAGTCGATTTGTTCATCCGGAGACGGCCATAGTGCCGTTTCCGGTACATTTGGGAGGAACAGGAAAGTTGGAATTGAACAAGGGCGGGGCCAGAGCGAAATGAGCTAAAAGTCACTTACCGATAATATTCTTGTGCGAAACCAGTTTCATGAGTTTGAACTCGCGATAAGCGCGTTTGGCGTGGGTCACATTTTGGAACGGCCGGGAGAGCTTTTTGATGGCCACATTCTTGCCGGTCATCGAGTCGTATGCGGCACTGTAATGAATTTTTTTCTTTCGTTAGAGAGCCACGGAAAGGGGCAAACGGAGACTCTCTCAGGCACTGATCGATATTCTCCAGGTCGGACGCTCCGAAATTGGTCTCCGCCGATGCAGACATGCTCGACGGATTCGAGGAGCGGAATACTTCCGAGTAATTTCCCGCGAGCCCTGATACAAGCTAATAAAATCTGCTCCACGATGGTACCAGGACTTAACGGTGGCCCGAAAACCTCCGCTGGCGACGACAGGAACGCTTTGTCCTCAAAACAAAAGACGACTACGGCGAAAACTTCTCGACCGAGACAACAAGGACAATGATGACGTCGGTACCGACAGCGATCCCCGTACCCTTCAGCTCCTCGAAAAATCTCCCAACGGTTCCATTTTCCCGTTCTCAACCATCGTGGGACGCACCCGATCAGCGTCTTGCCGTCTCTACCGAAGTCAGCCATGACATGAGAGAGAGGTAGCTCAGTGACAAAAATCGCGAAAGAGGAATGTTGCTCAGATTCGAACCAGACAGGTAGGATAATGAAACGAGCAGTAATTCGGCTCACCATACGATTCCTTGCGCTCCCGAACCGATCGACTTGAGATTTTGGTAACGACGTAGAATAGTGAAGGCGGTGTCGCCCACTTCCACGGTGTAGAACAGGGACGAAGGCTTCACCGACATTTTTCCGGAAATTTCGACAGCTGTCCTAATGAGTTGGCTAGGTAGGCCTGGCACCAGGCGACGACGATATTGTTTCAGGCGCTGCGAAGAACCTGACCCTGCAATGAATTCCGCTAATGACTGACCGACCTGCTGATAGATCAGCATACGCTTCAAAAACCTATTGACCGGCATTCGTCTACGAGCTTCAATGGATGAGTGCGACCGAAAGGAATCGCGGGATCCGACTAGCTAATTAGTCGCACGCATTCCCGAAAGCACTCTATCCCAGAGGACGAAGAGCTTGCCGTGGATGCCTCGTATGCCAGACATTGCGCGATCGAAACTCGAGCTCATTTTTCTCGAGCGGCTTGCTTACCGGGCCATCGGTTCTTAGGTGCTCAAGTCGATGATCTAATCCGTGTCCCGCGGCCCGTGAGATGGGCGGCTGTGTTGGGATGGTTTCTTAACATCTGAAACGTAATTATTCGATACAGTATTCAGTTCGCTCGCCTCTCGAAATCGACTCACTGGTCGACGACATAGATTCGAATTTCTGCTCTACGTCTACGGAAAGCTTGTCGTCCGGATTTGTCGAGGACACCCATGAAGTTTTCACCGTACTTTCGGGAAGAGGGTGGAATTCAAAGTGAAATTCGAGAGAATCCCTCCGGGGGAACCTTTCGAGCTTAGCACGAGTCAGAGTGTGATAAGTCATCATTACCGAATTGATAATAGCGAATCGAAAACTCGGAGCCGACTGAGGATTCTGCTCATATATCTGTTCTGACTCTCTCCATGCCAAACAGTCGAGTATAATGATGCGGAATCGTTGCCGAGGAATTCACAAGTATGTGCATAGATCTCCACAGCAGCAACCATGTTGGGGAAACAGGCTCAATCGAACACATCCATATTATGGTTTGCAGCGAAAGAATTCCTGCTGGGCTCCAATTCTGCCCGGGGCCAGAGCGACCACGGTAATTGCGCTCAGGCAGGTGAGCTGAAGGCAATGCGAAGCTCGGTATTGTGTTACTGACAAATGCAGCAGCAAGTCTGCACGCAGCCCCGCTTGTGAGCCAAGTGGTAGATGCTCGACTCGGGAGCTCCCAGCTCCGGAATCGAAGTGGAAAACATGCAGAGCAGCCCTAGCTTTCAGGTGTACCGCTCGAGGGATCAGATATCGTATCTCCTCGACGCGAGCTTCAAAGAGAGGAACCAAGCTCGAGAAAACCTCATGCATCGATCGATGAGCGCCGACGACGAAAACGTGAGGGATCGAACTTCGGTATCGTTCATGGCAGGCAGGCTGAGCCTCTTCATCGGAGCTGTTCTAGGAACGACATTCTCAGTCAGGGCGTTTTCCGGTGCGCGAAGAATGTCGACCCATGGAAATTCGCTGCGGGCTCCGAAGCGCCGAACACAAGAGCACACCTTCGCCACCACTATGTGATAAGGGTTTCATCGAGAAAGCCCGGCGGAAAGCCGGAGACGGTTTAATGAAAAACTTCAGAATATTAGTGACAGAGGGGATATCGGGACGGAATGACGTGAACCCCGGCTGGATCCCGCTGTGGCAATAGGATATCGTCTCGGTCGGCGACGGAGCCGCTGCCATTGTTCAAGTCGCTGCTCTTGAAATACTCTCGAAGGGAATGCATCGTGCAAACTAAGGTAGACGACATGCTTATCTGCACCGCATCTCCACAGGGTCGACGGAGGGTCTCGGAGCCGTCATCCGCACCTGTTTACCGTGACCGCTAACACTTCGACGGTGTCGTCGTGCGGTCGGGAGTAGACGACGGATACAGCAGTCAGATAAGCTGACGATAGTCCCATTGTTTCAATTTCTGAATACGTCACAATGATGGGGATATAAAGCCGTTTTCCATTGAATCGAAGCCCTCCTACCCCGGCTCACGTTCCCGCGAGTTGGAAATTCACGATCTCCAGGAGCGGGGTTCGTTCTTGTTAGAGATGTCTCCCGTCGGCCATAAGCTTTTGGTATACGTCATAGAACACTCCTAGAGCATTCCAGGATAACCTCGACGGTCATCGTTCCGAATCGGAGCACATACACCGGAGAGAAAGATCTCGAGCGCAGATGATGTGCGAGGATATGGTTCTCCTCGAGAAGAACAACAATTACACGTATCCGCTGCTGGCGCCGTTGCTGCTCGCAGTGTCTCAGCTGAGGGCAGAGCAGCTTTTTTAAGCAAACACTGAAGCTCTGGGAGTGCAGTCCCCGATTTGAGGCATGCGGACTATTTCTGGAATCCGGGGGCGCTCTTGCACGGGACGGAACGCTCCCAAGCCGTCCCCGAGAGAAACTGAACGGGAACTCACGATCGGAGGACTTCCGGAGCGATGAGAATGCGCTCCTCTTTCGAACTTACGGGAATCCTAGAGGCCCGAGTCGGACGGGCCTTGCAAGAGAAGCTCTGCACCGCCGTAACGGGTCGAAGTCTGTCGTCGACAAAAGTATAGCACACAGCCGCGGCCGCCTCAGGGGAAGAAGCACTTGGAATCAGAAACCTGCCAATGCCTGCCGGACGGCATTTCTCCGCGAAAGCTAGGCGGCCATTTTGGCAAATGGCGCTGTAGTCAGCTCGGCGCGCGCAGCTCTCGAAACTCAGAAAATCTTCGGGATGAGAAATCCGAAAGATATCGGACTCCGATCCTCAGAGCATGGGGTCTAATGGGAACCTAGTCCGAAGATTATCCAATTCCAATCCACACCCACAGAGCATGGAGCCTTCCCAAATTTGATAGACATCAGACTTCTATCCCTAGAGCTCAGAGCCTCATGAGAATCAAGTCCGATAATCATCGGACCCCCATCCACAGAGCATGGAGCCTTACGAGAATCAAGTCAGAAAATCATCGGAGTCCTATCCTCAGAGCATGGAGCCGTATGAGAACCAAGTCCGAAAATCATTGGACTACCATCCACATTCACAGAGCATGGAGCCTGGAGCCCCATGAGAGCCAAGTCCGAGAACTACTTTCATGAATGGATTTCTTCTGTCTGGTATGAGGGGGCACTTGAGGTGGTGACGGAGCCGAAGAGATGAGCCCTCTGCATTGGCCCAGGTCGCCGAGTGAAATCAAGACTTTGCTTTCGCTGAGATGGAGCGGGCTCCTGCAAGCGCCCCCTCATACCAGACAGGAGGAATGCGTTCATAATAGTAAACACAGAGTTCTCTATCATGTCCGTGCACCCGCCGCGGTAGGACGCAAATTACGGAACGCTGATGCTGTACTGAGTGAGGGTTGAGGTCTTATTCGGGATGTTGCACGGATCGACGTTCGCTCCATCGCTACGCAAGTGCCACCATCAGCACCGCACATACCGTGTGACACGACATTAATTGTCGGCTTCTGTTCCCGACGATTACTTTCAACCCTTCGTGCGCGATCGCTATCGAACATTCGGTTCCGGCTTTTGTTCGCTGAGTTTACCCTGTGCACGGTTCGGTCGCAGTGCGCAACAGAAGTCAGCGATATGTTCGGTTTGGGGCCGAAACCCATTTTAGCGTTTTTCGCTGATCTTCGGCCGATAACGTCTACGGGAACGAAAACCGAGATTTGGACACCCGGCTTGGACACCCCACTCGATCCTGAAGGAACCTTGTTATCATTTATGTAGAAGTACTCAACCGAAGATCAGCGAAAAACGCTAAAATAGGATTTGCCCGCAAGTCGAACACTGTGAGCTGGACCTTCTTTTCTCATGATTTTCTGTTATCGTCGGCTGATGAAGAAACCAGCATGACGCGAGTGACAAAATCCCCCCGCGATGGGAAGCGTCGAGGGACCTTCGTCACTGACGAATCGGAGCGGCTGCTATTCAGCACCATAAGCCTCTACTTTGAAAAGTGCGTCGGCTTGACGTACACAGATGTTGACGGGACTGCACCATGAGGAAACAATAGCGACAACGCTGATACCCTCCCCCGTACATATCAGGCCGACGAGTGATCAGCGAGTGACCGAAGAAGCTTTCATGACCAGATGAGATTCCTGAAGAGTCTGATTAGGTACTTGAGATTTCGGAGAAGAATCTGAATCCTAACTGTCCGTCTCGATTTATTCCCAGGCATTGAAGGATATCGGTATCGGTGACCGAGCCGAAGGTATGGTAGTTGAGGGGCTCAGGAGAGACCCCATCACAATGACTGTCCTGGTCGGAGAGAGTATCCTCGAAGACCTCAAGGACGAGAGGATCCTCGTGGGTCTCATCGGTAGGCAGTGTCTGCTACGCGAGAAGAGGAGACTTGCGGCGAAACACGCCGGGAAAATCGACCAGATAATGCTGGAAACTGATGCATTGTATGTGCATCTGCTCCTAGAAATAGGAATGACGAACTTGCGCGACGAGGATTCCCGAGCGTGGAGGGTCAAGGATCCCGGAGACGAGATCATTAAAGTGATAAAGGATGCCATATAACACGAAAAAATCGTCTCAGTGACCCGGGTGAATCTCCCAGAGAAAGAGGACTTGGCCCAATCGGCGATTGAGGTCAATGAAATGGTCGAGCAATGGGCCGACACGGAACCTGATAAGGTTCCAATCCTCAATCTCCGGGTAACTTATTTGAATAAGCTCTTATTCAATAACGATCGCCTGACAAAACAAGGCAGCCAGAAGACGAGTAAAAACTCGTATCCTGGTACATCAAAAAACTCCTCCTCGGTCAGACTGGGGAGGACGAATTGAAGGCTCATATGAAGAAAATGAGGAATGGATATCAGGAGACTGAGACATTAAAGAAGGAAAAAAAGGGCAGAGGATACTGCCCAAACGGGAGGTCCTAGCGGTAGCCAGGGCCACTCCGGTAGAGGGGCGGGCAGCGGGATAGCTGCACGCGGTCGAGGTCGCGGGAGAAGGGGCAGGATCGCCCCATACTCTCGTGCTACGCACAGGGGAACGAGCCCAGGACAGGGCCGCCCCAACTGACGGCCAAACCCCCCAAGAGCCACATCAGAGGATTCGGGGCAAGCATCGAGGAAAGGAGCCAGAAGCCGACGGAAGAAGGAATCTCCAAAAATAAATAATGACGTCGCTGTTGAACACTTTGAAATCAGAATCGGTGTTCTCGATCGGGGGAGGGGGCAGAACAAAGAGCAAATGGAAATGCGTAGTCGAGGAGATATTCACCGATCTCGACAAGAAGGACGGATCGGTGAAAAGAGGAGTTATATTCGCCAATGAAACGTGGCTAATGAATGAAGAATGTCCACCAGAAATTCCCCAGTACGAGTGGTTTGTGAGCAACCGCGAGGGGAGAACAGGGAAACACGCGGAAGCCGGGTTGGGAATTCTCACCCCGGTGGAACCAGGCCCAGTAATTTCCTAAAAGAGGGGAAGAGACTTCATGGCCTTGAGGACAGAACTACGAGGATCGGAATGGAGTGGGGAGACGCGCGTAGTGATTGGGGGCGACAAGAATGCGCACATGAACCAATTCGCAGAAGTGGAAGATTCCAGAGGTTGGCTGTTGAAGGATTTCGCGAGCCAGAATGTGCTCGTCATAGTTAATGCCCCCGGAAAATTTGAAGGGAAATTCACTCTGGAGAACGCGGTAATCGACGATGTACTGTGCAACGAAACAGCCTACAGCAAACTCTGGGGTATGGAGATTGATGAGGAGAGATTGAGAATCTAGATCTCCCTATGATTTCCGGAGATTCGGGAGCTGACCCAAACGCCATCTGCCAATATAGCTTTCCGGCTTTCGCAGAGAAATGCCGTCCGGCAGGTATTGACAATTGACAGGTTTCTGAAGTCTGCTTGGAGCACAACGGGAGCACTAGCTCTTCCGCTCCAGTCCAAGTCAGCAGACTTCTCCTTTTTCAAGCAGCGCCAAAATTCGAAAGCCGAGCTGACAGCGCAAGAGGCCGGCAGGCTTCCCGAGCACGGCTCGATTTGACGTATTCTCGAACGGACTTTCACATCAGGTCCGACAGCGATTCAAATAGCTCGAACGAAATGAGGGATAGATATACCTTCTGAGCTTCCATCTGAAACGCGTTGAGATGAAACATGATTTCGTAGCGTTTTCACATCGATGGAGAGGTCATTATGGTTTTCTTTGACCGAATGGAGGACGAAACTTCGTCGCATTGGTTCACAACCCCCCTTTCGGAAGACATTCTTGCGTCGCGCTTCGGGCATAGATTCTATCCGGAATAACCGATCCACCAGAATATGAAATTTATTGTCAGGTGAGAAAAAAATCTCTTTTGTTCAGTGAATCATGTAATCATGTGGATAAGTCGGTCCCTTGAGGGCTCGAGGTCAGGGCACGAAGGGTCTCCGGACAAATATAGGATGATCACTTTCCGGGTTCCTGCTCGGAACAGCAACCGAATTTCAATGCGGGTGTTTAAATTATCGGCTCTTGCGATGCCGGGGAAACACCGGAATTCTACGAAAATCTCAACGGGACCTCGCCATCCAAGCATGATGCTGATTTCCGGAGCTTTTCCAATCCGTCTCGAATTTAAGTCCTCCTCCGGAGCTCTCGGTGTGGTGGCCGCGGTCGCGGACCGACGAGAGCGGAGCGCTCTTCGCGCGCATATTTTCGATCGTCACCGGGAGGTCTTTACCGCCGCAGCATTTTATGCCGTAGCGCCTCTCCGATGACAGTTATAAAGTGCAGAGTTTGGATTCGTTTCGTACGGTAGAGAAAGAGTGTTCGAATCCAGCGAGTGCAGGAGTCATTTCTCCGCCGACCCGCCGAACCATGGAAGAGGAATTTCAGGTAGGGAATTCTCGACTCGACCGTTGCAGGAGCGCTCCTTCGTTCCACCCCTTCTCCGAACCCCAATCAGAGCCCCAGGACCCGACTCGAACCCGCCTGCGTACCGAGTCCGTTCGGGACAGAAATTTCTACCGCGTTCCTCGATCCAGTTATCGGCGAAGAGCATGTCTCAAGACATGCTTGCCCCATACACAGTGATGCCCATTTTTAGCGAGGGTAGTCGAACCTGAGGCCAGCATTGGTCGTTAATGAATTTCGACCGCTGCAATGCACAACCGGGAAGCAACACTGTTTTCTGGGATATGCTGCGGGGTCCTGTACATGGCCTCGGGACAGTATCCGGCGGTACGGTACGTCGTACGCGAGTGGGTTGCACGACGATCGTTGCGAAAGCTACGCCACGACGAGAATTCACTGATCCGCTCCGATTAATTGGCAGCGTGAGATATTGCGCGTACATATGTCCCGCTTCTGGACTATGCACACTCGCTCTGCGCTGAGGCAAATAGGATCGATTTCGTCGCGAGAATCCCGGCGGTATCGCGACATGGACGCTCAAATATTCCGAAGTGTTCTGTTTCCTGCCTGTGATATCGAGGAGGCGATGGGAGCCACGGCTCCCTACTACTTCTATCTATGATACAATCGTTGTTGTAGATCTGCAATCGTTGAAGGGGATGATCTGCTTTCGCGGGCTGTCGATGATTCTTCAAAAACCATCATTCGCTTAGCGGGGCTGTCACTTTTATTTGCATCTTTTTGCCGTGCGCCGAAGATCCGAAAGCGACGGCCCTTACCAACAAAGGAGCGCGAGTCTCTCGTAGAAGTCGCGAGCAGAAAATTAGATCGCGGAAGTGTCCTGGAGTTCAAAATCGATCCACTGGCTTATCGAGGCTCGATATCGGTCGGAGGCCGAACTCACGCAATGTCCGCGCCGGTATTTTCTATGCTCTGGACGCCTGGCGAGCCGTGTTGTTTCTCACCGAATGCTGTGTCAGCATACATGCGGATCACCGGCGGTCAACGTTCGAAATTTGGTATAAAATGAGTTGAGCAGCTGCGCGTCGTGCGTCACGCCGGACGGCGTTCACGGGACGTGTTTGGGGCCGGATTCTTCGTTCAGACCGAATACACAGTCAACCTGTAAACTATTTCGGGAGCCATCGAAGAGTAAACAGTCTGTGAAAGAGACATACGGAGCAGGGATCCAGTTTTCCTCCTCATATAATCCGATGCGAGAGACGCTGCTCACGGGGCGCGTTATCTATTCGGATCCGTAAACTACCGAGGCTCCTGGAACTCGTTACCTCGTGACGGAATTAGGGATGATTCGCACGAAGAGCGTAACTCGGCCGCCCCGAGAGGCTCCGGACGTCGAATATTCGACGCGGTCCGGTGGTTGAACGTCATTGGATAGGTGGTCAAACAAAAGCTATTGATTCGGCCAATGCATTACGCCGTGACTCAAAGAACACTTCCGGGCATGGTTCAGTGGTGTTCCTCGTTGCCTCGCTTCTTGACAGTTAGATGAGGGAGCTAGAGCTGTTCGAACAGCTCCAGGGGTGACTCTCACCCCTGTTCGTGGAAGAAAGAAGCGGAGAATCTCAATTTCGATCTACCCGAGAGGATCACGGTCCGCCCCATGATGAGCCTTAGCTTTTCCGCAACATAATTCCTTCTTTGTATGTTCGACCGTTTTCATTGCGCTAGACTGCCGATATATATTTTTGCGCGAATATAAAGACAAACTGAATCATCGTCCCGCAACGAGTCTCACACAGAGCCGGTGAAGTCTGAATCACATGGCGGTCCTGAGCCGCGATCAATAGTGGACGACCGCCCCGACCAATAGTCACCGTCTAGTGTAGCTGCGACTGATTTAGAATTCGGTAGTATCGCAGATTCAGTAGCGATCGACTCGGCACGTCCGTGGGCAGCATCGATGACTTTCGAGAAGAAATCTCATTTGTTAGTCACATGAGGGTATAGAAAACCCCGTTAGACGAAGCCATGTGTTCATGGAATCAATGCCGCCTGAACGAGGTAAACGCGTCAAGTTGAGGGATATTTATTTTCTCCAGGAGCAACTGGAGGATGTCTCGCACCTGCCGCTCGTGCAGCGGATGCAGCACAAGGTATGACAGTCGACGGGGAAAGAAACTATTGGAACCGATCCCATGAGATCTATTGGGCTGGAAATTCTTGAGGGGACGAGGTACTAATTTCACCCACTTGCTTTCGCCAGCAAATGGGCAACAAGGAGAAGGCGTGGGCTGATTGCGCAAGTCTTCTCAAAGAGCTCCCTGAGGGCGATCCCCAATTCAAGGAATATTCATCGCTCATCAAGAAGACTCTTAAGGAAAAGAGCCCGAAATCCATCATGCTCTCACTCTCTTGCCTCGAAGCTCTACTGCAAGGATGCACGCTGGACGACTCAGAATACAACGATCTGTTCGGACACATCTGTGGTAATCTGCTGAATCACGCCAACAAGAATATTGCGAGTCAGGCGCGCGACGCACTCAACATCTGCATAGAACGGGAACAGAACGACAATCTGGTCGACGCCTGCGTCAAAGCCGCGACCTCATCGAAAGTACCGAAAGTACACGAAGTCAATCTGGCCTTTCTAGTACAAGCTCTGAAAGACTATGGGCCTGGGGTCGTCAATCTCCGAAAAGTCAAGCCCGTCTTGACGTTGGTGACTAGCGCAAACGGTAACGTTCGCAATGAATGCCGGAACCTCATCATGGAGATGTACCGATGGGCTAAGGACGACATGAAACCATTGTTAAAAGACTTGCCTGAAAAGAACCTCCCCAAGGAATCGGATTTCGAGGCGCTTAGAGACGAAAAGCCCGAAGCAGTCAAGTTCACCCGTGCCGTACAAAAAGCCAAGGAGAAAGCAATTTCCTCGGGCCAAGACCCCGTTGCGGTCGTGGCCGCCTCGACGGTCGTCGATTCGCTCGTTGATCCCATCGATATTTTCAAAAAGATCCCAGGACTCATGAAGCTGCTCCAGGATAAGACAGAACTGAAAACAGCGCTGCCGAAGTTGAGACAGGAGCTCGAAGAAAACAAGCTTCTCGTCCAGTCTTTGAATTACGATGAATTGATAAAACTCCTCTTGAATATCGCCGGTAAGTTCCCTCCATCAGCCTACAAGAGGAAATTCAATATCTCGATCTGACTTCCCACCCCCGAAGTTCGATCTGAGGAGATGAGGGGGGAATAATTATTCATGAAGTCTGATTTCCTTGTGTCTGAAGTTAAAACAACTCGAATTTTCCCCAACAGTCAACGAAGCCAAGTTCATGCTTTCGGTCGAGGCGTGCAAATGTCTTGCTCAGCTGGGCACGAAAACGCCGAACAGCATCGCATCACATTCCAGCAGGGGAATACCCGAGCTCGTCAAGAGAGCCGGCTTCAGACAGAGGGCGCTGGTCGATGCATGCGGGAAAGCTGTCGACTCCATGCTTCCGACAGTGAAGTTCGAAAAGTTGCTCGACCTCATGATTGAACTGCTCGAGGACAAGAAACCAGACATTATAATGGAAGCTGGAGAGCTCATTGCGAGAGCGGTCCCATTGTGTCCGGCGAACGACTGTCCCAAGAAACTCCCAGGAGGTCTGGTCGTCGCTCTGGGCAAGGCGTTCGCATGCAGTAAACCCGAAGCTCGAGATGCCTCCATGAAAGCGGCTGGCGCTCTACTTAAGCTGACCAACGACAGAGCTCTACAAGCTCAAGTCGAAAAGCTGGACAGCGCGAAGAAAAACAAGGTTTGGCTTCGGACTCCGTACATGCACAATATCCGTATGTAGATGCGATCTTGATGCTCTCTCGGAAGCCCGCCTCCCGTGCTCAAAAAACCCTATTTTCTAGGTGAACGACTTCAAGGAAAAATGCGTACTGGGCGGCGGCAACGGTATTTCAGCTGGCGCAGCCCAGCCCAGAGAAAACCCAAAGGCATCTGCAGCTACCGCGCGAAGGGTTCCGAAGATTCCCTCGAAGGAAAGTGTCGCGTCCGACGCATCCGATCCGAAGGAATCATCCGCACCTCCACCACCTACCGCGGCTAGAAAACCAGCATCCAGGACGGCTGTCAAGACGGCTACCAGGGCTCCGCCTAAAACGGCTACAGGTGGAGCTAAGAAGAAGACAGCTTCAGCCGCGCCGGTGAAGGGTGCCGGCAAGAATCTATTCCACGAAAACGTCTTCTCGGACGAAGATCTCATATGTCAGCTCGAAGGCGTCATGAGCGACGCCGTGAAGAGCCAAATCGCTGATTCCAACTGGAAAACTCGATTGGCTGCGTGCGAGGAGCTGCAGAAGTCTGTGACTAGCCTGCCCGACGGGAACATTCCGGTCCAAGCCCTGACTCGAGCTCTCACCAAGAAGCCCGGGCTGAAGGATAGCAACTTCCAAGTACTTAAGGTGAAAATAGAAATCCTCTCGGACATCTTCGCTCGGGGCAACGTGTCCTTGCACACCGTCGACGCCTGCAAGGCCGACCTCGCTGAGAAGCTGGGAGACCTCAAGAACTCTGCCGTGGCTGCTCAGGCACTAATGAGTCTCGCTGAAGCCACTTCGCTTGATCTGGTGTCCACACAGGTTTTGGAGGCGGCCTTCGCCCAGAAAAGTCCCAAAGTTCAATCGGAAGCCTTGAACTGGACCGGACAAGCGATCAAAGAGTTCGGTTTCAAGGTGCCCGCCAGGAGTGTCATCGAAACGATGAAGACAGCCTTGGGGGCCAGCAACCCAGCGGTGAGAACTTCGGCGGTGAAGCTCTTCGGAGTGATGTATCTCTACTTGAAAGCACCCTTGAGAGGTTTCTTCGAAAATGAAAAACCCGCGGTCCTAGCTCTTCTCGACCAGGAAATAGCCGCGGTCCAGGATCAAACGCCCCCGGCCCCTGTCCGAGGAGTCAAGAACTCCGAGTGCGACGAAGGAGACGACCGGGCCGATGCGGGTGCTGAAGAAACCGTCGAAGAAGTGGACGCAACTGATCTTCTGCCTCGAACAGATCTGAGCTCCAAACTCCAGGGCGCAATCATCGCCGAAATGGGAGACAGCAACTGGAAGGTGAGGATGGAGGCCCTGACCAAAGTGCAGAGCATCATCAACGAAGCGAGCGCGATAACTCCCGATCTCGGAGAGCTGCCGAAAGCTCTCAAAGCTCGCATCGCCGACACGAACAAGAACCTCGCGACGAGTGCCATCAAACTCTGCCAATCGCTGATCGAAGCCATGGGTCCTCACGGTAGCAAACACGCGCAACTTTTCCTCCCGGCCGTTATGTCGGCACTGGCGGACTCCAAGGTCTCGGTTCGGACCGCTTCCATCTCGTGTCTGGACAAATGGTTCGAGATCTGCAAAGATCCAATGAATCTCTTTCTGGACGGCGACAAGATGAGCGACGCCCTGAAAACAGAGAACCCGTTCCTCAGGAGCGATCTGCTCGATTGGTTCGCCGCGAAACTGGACGCCCATAAAGGCAAACTGAACAAAGAGTTCCTGAACACTTGCATCAGTCCAGTGTTCTCGTGTCTCGAGGACCGAAACGGCGAAGTCAGGAAAAAGGCTCAGGCTTGTCTTCTGCCTCTGGGCAAACACACGGGCTTCAACGCCCTGCTTTCGAGATGTAACGCCTTGCCGCCCTCTAGCAAGGGCACTATAGGCAAACATCTCGAAGCCATCAAGGGCGATTTGATGAAATGTCAAGCGCCCCCGCCTTCGGCCGCGCCCCCTGCGCCAGCTGCGGCTAAAGTTCCCGAGAGGAAGCCGCTGGGGACGTTCACCCGCAAACATTCGAACCTGACGAAAGCCAGAGACATTGAAACCGAAGACGAGACGTCGCCGCAGAAAGAGGAGAAACGATCGGGGAGGAAGGGCGAGGAAGAACTCAACCCGGCTATGTTGTTCGCCGGTAGAGACCTTCGACAACCCGCCACACGGAAAGATCCCTTGATGCGTTGGTACATTCACGACACCAAGACCTTGGAGAAGGACAAGCAGGAGCTGCTGGGTGAACTTAAACGGATGTTCGAGATCGCTGGTGCCAGCACTCAGTGCATCCAGCTTTCCTTCTCGGAGATGCTTCAACACCATCAGAAAATCACCGACATCTGGATCCAGGTTCGTTAAGCGCTCGTTCTATTCCACGAGCATGAAGCATTCGAGCTAGATGGGGATTCTGAACCTAATAATTATTATTCCCATCCAGGCACTTCGCGATGAGTCTACGCAGGATTTGATCCTGGCGAACCGCGACCTCATAATTCGTTGGGGAGCGGTGCACTGCTACGATAAGAACTGGATGACGATCAATCACTTCATGCGTTTTCTCCTGGAACTGTTCCCAATCATGGAGGAGAGGAACATCTCGCTCGAAGTCGTCGAAGTCAACATCCTTCTGCCGAATTTCTTCTCAAAATTCGTCTCGATGACGGCGCAAAGTCAGGAACTAGTCGATAGCGTCATGAGATCCCTACCGACGGTGTGCAAGTCGTCCCAGATCTTCCTCAATGTCTCGGACATGCTGAAAAACCAGAAGAACTTCAAGCTGGCCAAAAGTAAGTCGACCCCGCTTTCTACACCTTGTCGGTTTCCTGGCGACTCTCGGATAAATGAAAACCTGACGCTCCGCTTCGTTCTAGACATGATCGACGAGATGAATAAACTGATGGAAGAACACCGAGAGGAGATCAGACGACTACCGAATCTCCGAGTCATCGTGAAATCATTGTCCGATTTCACTAAGCAAGCGAACATGAAAGAGCTCTGCCTCAGAACAATCGCTGAGCTGTGCTACATCAAGGAAGGACAAAAAGATCAGAGAGAAATGATGCGAGAAATAAACGATAAGGATCGCGCATCGGTCGAAAAGTACATGACGAAGATCAAGGAGGAAAGACCCTCACCGTCACAGATGAGAGAAGCTGTCACCGAGCCTTCGTCTCCGGCGCGTCACCTGGCTAGACCTTCAGCTGGGGGTGGCGGCGGAGGTGGCACTCTGACATTCAACCGGACCGTGGTTCGAACCTCGGCCGGTGGTCGAGGGATTCCGTCACCTCGAGGAGCACTCCAGTTCTCACCGAGGGCTACCGCACAGTATCAGCTGGACTTGAATGCTGTCAACAATAATGAAGCGCCGCCGTCGGGCGGCATCGCGGATCCCTGTGGCACATTGTAAGATTTTTTGAACGCCTATACAGATTTATCGGCACATAATCGGGAGGTTTCCTATCGTGACGACGGGTTCGAGCTTTGCATCCATTTCAGTGTTCGCACCACAAGCAACAACCGATCACCTTTGGGTCTTTCACGGACCATCAGGCAACCATCGGCACCGGTGGTGAGTTCGCCTGTTCCTCATATTCCATCGCAATTTCCCAGCTTGCGGGTCCGAGTCTGTCCCACCACGAGTCGGTCATCGACGTCAACGGTCTCGGCTGAAATTTCCATTTTTTCGCTTCTAGCGGGCGGCTTATGACGCAGAAAACTTCGAGCGTATATCACGCATGGCAGATATTGCTTTGAAGAAGGAAGAAACGGTAAGCCTGGAACTGATCTTTCCAATCTTAAAAATGACGCACTTAGTATACGTGTGTGTTCAATTCAGATTCTTTCGAATCTATCGGTTTGTGATCCTAATGGAGGGAAATTCCTTTACAGACGCGTGCATACAGCGGAAGAATCACCAAGCTCCCTGCGAGCATCTCTTGCGCTCCGCAGACTGGTCTGGACGAGCACGTGATTGCACGCAAACTCAACTGCACCGCCATCGAAGATGTTATTCTCGCCGGCCAGCAGATTTTAATGTCGTTACAGAGCGCCGACACGGAAACCGAACTTCCCGATGTGAACGAGCCTTACATCAACTCGTTGTTCTCGAATGTGGGTCAGCAATGGAATACGGTGCTCACGCTCTACATCCCCGATGACACGTGCAGGGAGGAGGACATCCGTCAGGTTATTCGCACACTCGGAGCGTGCGTCTACGCAGTGATAACGACAGGTGAGCCGCATGCACCATCGGATCGGGGTCAGCATCGAAATTCGGGCATACGTTTAGATGGGTGTATGAGACGTTCGAGGGCTGGATCGTAAGAAGATGCTTCCGACTCTTCAGGATCCTACGCGAAACTGGCCAGCCAGTCCTCCTTGGAGTCTCTTCTCCCACCGGCGTTCCAATTGCTCTCTCATGAATTCTTGGAGAAGTTCTGCAAACCTGGTTCTAGTTCATCGGATGTGCAGAAGCTGCTCAACGACATAATTGTTAAATCGCTCGACAAGAGCAACGCAACACGAGTCACGTGCGCCCTCCTCCGGATGTACACGGACCGAGTTACCCGCAAGCTACACGAACAGGATCGGAATTCCAGAACCTGTCTTGATCTGATGACAAAGTGTCTCTGGAAGCTCGTCCGACACTGGAAGCAGCACCTCCCGGATGACCTGGAGGTCCTGCCTGTGCTACGAACGGGTGATGACTGTCTAACGGCCTTCGCGGCGTTGCCGGTCAACGCTTGCGACGTCGATAAAGAGTTGCGGACGGTGAAGAGTGTCATCAGCGAGCTCTTCAATCACCATGAGAACAGGGTGAGTGACGCTCAGCGAGACCTGCGACTAATTTGGGCCGCGTCCGGATCGGGTTCATGCTGTCGACAATCAGCGATACTTTGGGATGTTCCCTCATCGAAACAGGCCAGAATCGATCCCTCAGCGCTTGGGCTTCTACTCAAGCGATGCGAAATATCTCCTCGAGGATGTTCTCAAATATTTCGATAAAGATTTCGTCAGCGGGGCTTAGGGGACTGTGGAATAACTGAATAAGCTCGACGCCTTTTGACTAACTCTTCGCTTCAATCGCTTGGATTCCATACAGGTCCTGGAACAGACGATGACGCACTTCGTTCCTGACAGCGAAGTGTACAAAACGGTGATGAGGGCGAAGCGCAACAAGGAACGCTGCTTCAAGCAGGTACAGCAAGCTAACGGAATTCAATCGCATTTTGAAACTACTACTAGAAATGGCAGCACCGCTACGACTACTATGATGTCAGCAACAACGACCGCAACGGCCTTACCACACTTAGATAATGACAAGCCGTTCAATTACTGAGAGATTAAGGCTTCGTTCCGTAACTAGGGTTTGCCATTCGCTGCTTTCAGTTCCGTTTGCTCTAATCTATTAATCTGTGTTCGTGTGCTTCCTCCAGTTCGCCCCCAGAGGTTTCGCTACCGATGAGTTAATGAGTTAGGCCTCAAGAGTTCGGAAGCCTAGCAGAATGGAGCGTTCGATATCTATAAACTTTCAATCTAGTTTTGATTCAATCTATCCCCGTTCCTCACAAATATATTCGTAGCTGAGGCCTCCTCAGCTCTCTCGCCCGAGCTCGACCGGGAGGATGTCGGTCTTCCTTTCGTTATCCATTCCTTTTCCGTTCTCGGTTCCCCCCACGAGCGACGTTCTCAATTGCAATTCCGTTGATTTCTTCCATTCCGATGAGATAAGAGAGCTCATGAGTCGACACTCGAAGCCTTTTGTTGAATTTTCCTTTGACGAAGCTGCTCAGTCGACTCCGTCTATGGAATCTATGAGTCGAGACCGATCGTTTGATCTCACCTGTATATTCTGGTCATCACTCTCGAGATGACCTCTTAGGAGTTTGTCAATAAAAACAAGAGTTACTCGTTACGCAAAGAGCCCAGTCTCTTCATTGCAATTGAGAAGTGTCGCGAATGTTTCCCTTTCATCGAAAACTGTCTCCGCGAAGGCTCCGAGAGCCGCATCGTACTCGCTTCTTAGAATTTCGGAATCTCACGTGGATAACTCAATGCATACGGGTCCTTGACGTTTCGGAAACTCATGTGTGCAGAATGTCTTTAGGGGTGGAGTTTCTAAGCTTGATCCAGGGATGTTTCTTCTGAAGCCTGACGCACATGCTTTCCAGGATAAGGATCGGACCCGCTTGAAGCAACTGATGACTAGGTTCCAGGTGAGCGTGGATCTGTTGATTTCAAGCGGAACACTCTGCTCTTCCCGCTATTTTCTCGAAAGAAAACCCCTAACTTCCCTATTGAGTTTCTGTTGAGTGTTTTCTTACCGACACTAGGAAACTGGCGATCTCGAGGAGCTTGTCATCCACATCTTGGTCGAAGATATTCCTCAAGATGAAGTTTCGCGTCTCTGCCAGACCTCGGACCAGCACGAAGCAATAAAACAAGTTTACCGTGAACTACCGAATATCACCAAATCTATCGGTATGTTGACTCGGTCGGAACTCATTATGTATGCCTGATGAGGTTGGGAAATTAAATCCAGACTTATGGCCCGGAATCACGAATGATCTCGTAACGTTCGAATCTCAACTCGCAAATTGCAGAAGCGAAAGGCTTCCCGGAAAATTTCGGCTACCTGTCTTCGGAAGCGGTGACCGAGATCATGAAGTATCTGGAAAAAATTTGGGAGCTGCCGGGTATGACTCCCGTAAACATGCCCCAGATCATAGACGAAGCCCGGAATGTGAGTAGAGCTGCGCCATCCGACGACTCCGATAAATACAGAATAGTCCCACATCCAAGTTTCTCATTGAATTCTACGCGATCCTCAGAGACCATGCCAGGACATCTCATCGGAGATCCAGCATCATATGGATTATGCCCAACGCTTGCTCGCAGAATTGAACGAGAGTTAACTCGAAAGCTTCCACAGCTTTTCCCGCTTTGGCTCCATATCGATCCTTCTCGCCCGTGTTCACACTCTGGAGGATCAAGCCCGAGATCCTAGCAGAGACTTCGTACAGGATCCCAAAACAATGCTTGTTTCTTGTCGCTCCATTCCCGAAAACTCGGAATATCTCCGCGTTTCATCTGAAGAATCGACGGATCCATGGAGCGGGAAGTTTTACAGTCTTGAAGCTTGCAAGACCCACGATGAGTTCCATGACCGAACGGGAGCCCCGCCCCTGCGAAGATCCTGCGGCACTCGGGGGGCCTCTCACATTATTTATTTCGACATTTTCCACCCGCTGCCTCCGATCACATTGTCCCTGTTCAGAAGAATTATTATCGTTCAGGAATTTGCTCTGGAATAAAAAAGGTGTCATATAGAAGTTAGCGATGAGCGTCGAATTCTTCGGGAAGGGCTTCCTATCTTATGGTCTCTTCACGATGGCACATTGAGACCTGAGCTTGGGCGCATGACGATCCCGGTTTTCGATTCTCCTGCGAATAATTTCCCGGCTTCGGGCATCGGACAGCTTCGAAGTTCTACTGTCTATCGAAATAGAGCTCTTCTCCTTCTAGGTCTTCTAAGCGATAGAAAGACAATTTATTCTCTCTTTCCCTAATACAGCTCAAGTCACATTCTCAGACATCGACTCGATACACTCAAGTATTCCTATCAGCTGCATATATTGCTCCCCGCGGTAGAGCCCATTTCCCAGAGCGGATTGGGGCTTCGAGCCGGAAAGAGATCCTCGGTTCGGAATGAATCAGCTGATGAGAGAGTTCCATTCCTCCTCTTCCATTTTCTGAGTCAGGAGTTCTCGAGAGATTGAACTGCATGGCCTCCTCCTACCGATTTCTACCGCCCTGTGAATCTCGCTGGCGGTGAATTGCCTCTTTTCTTCGTCTTCGGTTGGTTTGGCCGAGGGATCTCCTAGAGCTGGAACGGCGAAAATATCATTCCATGTGTTCCCGATTCCAGCTCATGTTTTAGGATTTAGGCTTTACACGGTCCGTCTCATTTTGAGCTCTCTATCGTGCTCCTCGCACAGCATTTGCTGTCCCAGACGTGGCTCCATGCAATTACTCGTGCTGCCTCCCTTGGCTCTCATAGGGTCAAACATTTTATTCACCGAGGTTTGGATCCCCGCCCCGATCGAGGATCGTGCAATCGTTATCTCTCTTTTTGGTGGGCAATATTAATCTAGCTATGGTGAGTTGAGTGGGATGCTAGAAGTGTGATTACTCCGATCGCTTGGTAACCACACCATCCACTCTTCCGTGGACCGTGAGGGGCTCAAATAATGTTCCCATCCTATGGGGGTCTGGAAGTGGGCCGCTCTATGACAAAGATGCAAGGATGTGGTCATATCGATTCAGTTTTAAGGCTCGCATTCATTTATCATTCCATGTTTCCTTTCCCTCCAGCGAGCTTGAGTCCTGAGTCGAATATCTTACCCGCTAGAGGCTAGAGGATCCGGTCCGGTATCGCTTCAAACAAGCGCTCTGTCGCTGCTTAAAGACTCATTCGGGCTTAGGTAATCGACTCCTGACAGTCTACTTTGGACTGGAGTCGGCGAACTCGGCACACTCCCGAACCGGAGCAGTCAAGTGCGCCATCTCGAGCCGAAACCGTGAGATCAACTCATGATTATACCCCGAGCAATAGCAGTCCGATATACCTCGAACGTCGCCCGAGGGCCTCGCTATTCTATCTGGCTGCCTTGGACTAGATTCGCTTCGGATGTGAATCCATCATTTTGAGTTTTTCTTAGTTTTTTTCTGCTGCAGTTTCGATGGCCGAGCTTTTTGTGGTGCCTTCGCACCTGCTCGTTGAATTCTGTGCTCTTTGAGCACAACCGCTTCGTCTTTTCCGTCATCAAACTTTCCAGGATCGCTTCCATTTTCCATCGCCTGGAACACCGCGCTGGCGAAGTTCTGTTTGGCCAGGGCGCGTTGTTCTTTGGACATTCTAAATTTTCGTGGAGGTGCAGGGACCGTACATACCCTGGGGCCCTTGTCCCTCTGACGGGCGAGGGTTTTTGATGCATCATTGAGCAAAGCTGAGAACGACGTGTCTAATGAGGAGACACCTCGCGTGGACCGGCTCACCGATAGGTTGGCTTCCTTGAGGGCTCGTCGACGGGTTTGCTCTTGCACGCTCGTTTCCTGAAATAAGGTGCCAAATAAGACGGGAGCAGGGGACGCTAGAATCGAATTAGGTGGGTGTCGTGAATTCTCGCTCAAGCACTCTCGATCCACTGGCAACTGTCGTTCGAAGTCCATAATCGAATTTCGATGCAAATCAGGCTCGGTGATCTTGTGTGATTACCAAAACGATCACTGACTCCCCGCTTACGAGCGATCTGATGGTGGCTCGTAAGTGTTTGCCTCGGAAATTGCTCGCGGCGGCGGGGATTGACGACATGATTCCGGAGTGATCTCATTTGCCATGAGTCCATTGAGTGTCCTGGTATTCTCCCTTTTGGTGACTTCGTGTCTTTCCGCGGAGGGTTCGTATCTTTTTTTGTCAGCTAAAATTTCTACACGAGGCGCCAGCCGTAGCCCTAGTCAGGGCGCCGACCTAGCCCTGCTGTTAACCCATAGATTATTTAATGAGGGAGCAAAGAGCTCCATGACTTGCTGAGACTTCGTCAGCCTTGTTGGGGAAACGACACTTCTCCGCCGAGTGGAAGAGCTGGGCTTCCGGAACCGCGGTTGTATTCATCTCTTTCAGTGAAGGACTAGTCTGTGGAAGCTGGAAACGGGGAACGGTCTGTTCATGACTAAAAACGACATATTTCGCTTCGCCTCGGATCGTCCTCCAAAGCTTCCGTCTCGAGGCATTGCGCTGGAAAATCAGCATTATGCTCTTCCGGAAGTATAGAGAAAAACTCCCATCGCCGCGATCGCTTTTCGGCTACATCATCCGAATGAGACTCTTGTGCAAATTTCAGGAAGTGAAACGAATGCTTTCGCTTCGCTGCTCAACGGACTCCTGGGAGTGGCCGAGATGCTTCTCGCGCCAGTACTATCGGTCGCCAACTCAGTTCTAGACCTCAAGAAAGCCGTTCTAGGACTCCTCGGTGGACTTTAATCGAAGACGCCCATTCGAGGACGAGTTTGTCTGGTATTGATGATCAGGGAATCTTATGGAATCAATAAATTATGATCTATTCTTTCTTTACCTTGATCTCAGTTTTCTCTCTCGCGAATTTCGAAGGCTGTTGAGAACTCGATCGAGACCGAGCTTTGTGTTTCGAGTTTTTCCTCCCTCTGCAAATGGAGGATCGGAGAAAACGTTTCTGACTGCAGCTCCTGACGTACCCAGCCTAAGGATAGAAGCTCGAGAGACTTTCAAAAACTTGCAACAAATTGAATTCGAGCCAATGAAAAACGAACCTGTCGTCTCCCGAAACCGCCTTGGCTTTTTTCAGAGAACCAGATTTTTTCTTGCTACCTTCTTTCTTGCGCGTCCTCACCGGTGGAGGCTCAGATTTGGTTCTCTGTCTCGGAGGTGGTTTCGATGCTCGATCCAGAGCTCTACCGTTCGACTGGAAAGGGTTCGTAAGGATTTAAGATGTCGGAATCCTCGATATTAGACACACCGACTCAAAGAGCATGAAGCTGACCTGTCTTCTTGCTTGGTGCTCCATCTGTTCGTCTTTCATAGCCTTCGCCGCTTCCCTGAGCCATTGTATCCGAGCACGCTCCCAGTCTTGGACAGCCGAGTTCACTTTACTACGGTAGAATACTTGATTCTGACACCAAGCCATATATGTCGACTGAAAGAGTGAAATCTTCAGAGCTCAATCGAATCACCGGTCTTGATTCCTCCGTCAAGATTGGTATCTCTCCTCTGAGACGTATAAGACCGAAGAGTGGAAGATCAGAGGTCTGGCGCGCGGAATATGATTTCGATTCAGAAGTCCCCATGGCGGATCATGCAGCCTAGCCTAGCGGGGCGATGTTTGACCTCATCATCCGACACAGAGATGGTGTCTACGTACAACATCGAGGACAGATCGATGCGGGAACCTCCTTTTGAGCATATCCATCACCAAAGCCCGGCGGTTTGACAGACTCTTCGGGTACTGTTCGAGCACATGCTGAACCACTTGATAGTCTTCGTTGGTCCAGTCGGCGGGCTCCTCCCTGTCGACGAATGCGAATCAAATCTTTTCCGATCATCCCGCATAATTCATGATGGATTCGAGATAAGCGGGAAACACGGCCCGTTCTCCCTCACCCGCGATTCGCGAGGCCGTGATTTGGGACTTACTCCGTTTTATGAGCTTTATCGATTTCCCTCAGTTTTTTCTCGAAGTCCTGATCGAGCTGCTTGAGTTCCCCCAGTTGATTTCGCCGCATTTTCGAGTCATCCTTGTGAGCCGCCAGGAACTCTTCGTCTACGTTACGGGCAAACGTGAACCGAACACTGGTCAACATGGGTATATTAAACGCCTGTGGGATAGCCATTTTGAATGCGTTGCGCGATTAGATGGATCCGTGGCAGCGCTCCGCTCGGCGGATGGACGCGCTAACTAGCTCAACCATACTTCGAACACTGAGGTGACACGCATTGCGTGGAGAAAGCAAAACATGCTTTGTTGGACCATTGTCGTGGGCGTGACTTCCGAGCTCGGTCGAGCTTCTCGTTCAGTCGCCGAGGGTCGGCTCCGAGCACGCGGCGTTCTGCTCCGCTGGGTAATACGTCGGCTGGTCCCCGGTGAGCACGTGGGCGGCTTATGATTTAGATGGAGGTCACCCGGGAGCGTTGCTCTCCGAAGCCGTACTAGACAATTTAATTGAACTAACTTCAGATCGAGGTCGGCTAAAACAAAACTTAGCGCAGCAGAGAATTTCGTACTCCATGACCTCGGAACACTGTCAGAGCGTGGAATTTTCCGGAGGAAAAATCTCCTGTCTCGGTCCTGCTTTGATCATCGAAGAAAATTCGCATGGGAGCGCGCTCCCGTCATATTGTATCTGGATTCATTCCGTTTCCTCTTTTGCGGGGACCGAGACCTCTTTCTAGGAGTTCTCGATGGAGTTCGGGTGGGCTGGTTCGGGACGGGGAGCCCGCTGGCGAAGGTTCACGTTATCGAATCAGTACTCGGCTTCGCAGTTATCCTCTCGAATCAGGCGCCCCAGCTGTAGAGCCGAAGGTTACAACGACGATGGGGAACTTCGCACAGCCCTGCCTACTGGGTGTTGCCTGACCGTCCTTACCTCTGTCACTTCCTGCTCAGCACGTATCCGGTCGTTTTGTAGCTGTTCACTCAGCTGGATGAGTTCGTTCGAAGCCGACTCGACTTCTGGCTCGAAGTCCGCCGGTGATTCGCTTTCGAGACAACGTTGAACCAAATGCCTGAAAATGAGCATTGCTCTCAAACTACCAATCCAAATATTCACCTGAGCACTGAACAACCGTTGACATCGGAATCGGTACGCACTTGAAGAACTGTATCCGAGAGGAAGCGTTGTCAAGAAATTTAGTGGCGTCGAGCTCCAAGTCGATCCAAGTTTCAAGGCACTGTCCGACGACATCATCGACGCTTTGGCACGACAGATAACGGAGCTTGTCCACCACATCGCTCCTCACGGAATCCTCCTGACTCTGGAGGCGCTTCCATTCGTTACTCCAAATCTACAATCGAAGATAAGCAGAGATGTGGGCAGTTTCCGATTCCGAGAGACTTAGAGGGATTTTTGATCCGATAGTGACGTCATTCAGCGAGCACTCCCCCAAGCTTCCTCCCTCTGACTGTGAGATCCGCTAAATGCGAGGGGCAACATCACTTTAAACTCGCGCTAGAGCCCGATTTCGTTCCGCGGAGTGACATCGGGAGCCGGAATGCTACGAGGTCGGATCTGTCGGATTCAGAGAGTTCAAGTTCACTTACTTGCCTGTGTTGCTGAAGCAACGTTGCCACGTCCGTATTCGATCCGTTTCCTTTTTTGCGAGGTTTATCTCCAGACTTGCTGGTTTTCGAGTCTTTGGTTTTCTTCGACATTTTCTGCCTTCTTTCCCTTAGGCTCGGTGCGTCCTACAATCGGTTTCGCTGTGTAAGGTTCCTAACCACCTTGTCTTCGGACTTTCGATCGACAGTCGCTGCAAGGAGAAAAATCGGAAATACTCAGGGGCCGGATTCTCATGAGGTGTGCACCGTAGCGAAGACGGGGAAGCGATATCAGAGCTCTGGGTTTAAAGGAGAACCTCGTCGTCCGAGTCGAGAAGATCCTTCGTTCGATAGGCTTTTTCAAGTGGGACTTTGACGGGTTCCGCGTGGGGTTTCTCGCGAACGACAAAGTTGGGTCCTACGTGAAGCTTCACGGGATCTACCCTACGGTGGCATCGATGCTAGTATTGAGAACTGAGTTCAAATTCCGACTTTCGATACGACAGAGAGAGGGCCCAATCTAGCGGAAAGTTACAGAGCAGGATTCGTCGATAGTGCGGAGATTCCAGCTGACCTCGTTTCTCGAATAAAAAAGACAGGCGCTGGGCCGACTGGACTGAATCCTCTATGAGGTTTCGCGATATCATCTGATTCGTTTGCCAATATGAACGGAAAAACTCGTCGCGAGCCGACGCCGGGGAGCAAATATATCTGTCCGATTAATCAACAGACGAAAAGCGACCATTGAATGTAAAGCGACTGGTCAGAATAATTCTGCCTGGACGCCTCCCCTGTTGAACCTTGCGCTAGAGCATGAGCTGCTTGTTGTTTATTCAGCGAATATAGAAGCGGCCTCGTGTGTATCCCAATGTGATTATTGTCCGATGCAGCGTGGAAAAAGCGTTGGATCGCTGAATCGCTGCACTGTCCTGCATGCGTCTACTAGTCTGCATTCACCTCACGGTTCGAAAGTGCTCCGAGGTGGACGTCCAGTTGACGGCTGCTTGTAGCATATCAAAGTAGAATTACTGCCATCAATATCAGGGAGGTGCACGTCTGTCAAACGACGGTCACAATTTTGATGAGATTTTCCCGGACTCCAACTCGTCGTCTGGAACTCTGTAGACACCAGCCGACGCAAGCGTGAAGGCGGTGGATGAGGGCACCCCGTGGGTACGAACCCCGATGCGAGAAACAGCTTCCACGGAATCAGCTCAAGTTTCCATCAAGTATGAGGTTCGAGGAATTCTTCACGCAGTGAGTTACGGATTGGAAAAAAAAATATCGAGACGGTCCGACGCCGACGCATGGGATCATCGAATCGATCAGCGTGAACCTCGTCAACGAACTCGAGTAGAGGGGGCCAGACTCGAGTTTCTAAAACCATCACATAATTTTTGGTCATGTCGAGATAGCGAACATTCACAGATCTAGCAAACATACGTCCTAAGTCAGTGACAGAAGAGCTCTGTGGAGAATCGAATTTCCGAAGTTCCGTCCCCCTCAAGGTCATTGCTTTCCGTCTGTAGAAGACGTGCTCGGATGATCGTGGTGGCATGCAGAGGGTGGGCGTTGTCCCTTATGCCAAATGACTAGCTCGATTAGATTAACGTGTACGTTGTCAACGCGCACTGGAAGGTACGCAGCCTTTCAGGAAATTGCGGGAAGAGAGAGCTTGTTGTGACGCTCGCTCAGAGCGAGGGATGCGAACTCGCTACCCCGATCCCGGTGTGAGTTACACGGTCGCGCTGGCCGGTTAGCGAGTTCTGGGACTTTATAGACTACGATGATTTTTGTGGCGACCGAGGGAGTTTAGCGAGGCCATACGGAGCGTTCTCGGAAAAGACGTGATGTTCGTTGAAACGTGTGTTCACGTTCTGTTTCGGCATCGCCCGGGTAACTAGCTCCTGCACGGCTTCATCTAACACACTAGACGCTGACTGACTTGGCTCACGATTCTCGTAGGAGAGGCCGTGTGGAGATTAGCCGGACGGAATTTCGACCCTCCGGATACGAAACGCCGCCGGTGGGATTCTCCGAGAATCAGTCTCATGCAGGATATTCGAAACTTCGGAGCGGCTTGAGATTTTCCCCTGAATAGGCCTATACGTTGCGTGTTTACCGTAGTTGAGAAGGACGACGTCTGTAGGATCGGTGGAGGCTTTCGCACGCTCGGCAGTCCGAATGTGTGCGTTCGACTATTCTGCCGGTAAACGCTGGCCGCGTTGGTGATTATGCATGAATTCCACGGCTCGAAAGCTCGAGCACGTCCGCCTCCGGTCTCGCCCCCGCAACCTGCGGCATTGAAACTCTCCGAACGCCAAATAACCGAGATAGAATACTTCAACTTCAGAGCTCGACTATAATGTCTCCTCAATTTTCTCGAAATCCATGATCGGAGACCGTGGACTCCTGCTTCATGCTCGTTGTCGCAGAACCCGGCTTCGATTTCCTCTTACTTTCGCAAGCCTTGTATCCCGTGGAGAAATCCCGGCATACAAGGCTTACGATTTCAGGAAGTTCCTAATGGGTGCTCGAATTCGTCCAAAATTGTTTTATCGCCTCCGGGGCGCTATGAAACAGGTGTCCCGGGGGACACTTCCATGAACGATGAGCGCCGACGCCCGACCTTGGATGGGAGTATGAAGCGGACCGCGGGGTCATTGCTAGCTGTCTTATTTAGTTGTGATTGTGCGGAACTGTTCCCGCACATCGTTCCATCAAGGGTGGAGTTCATGACCATTATGCGCGTGAAATCGAGACCATCAAAAGCTGTCTCCGATCCATCTTTTCCTCGAAATGGAATTTCTGTTACTCTAACCTCACACAGTCCGATCGAAGCTTTTAAGTTAATCCGTACGGAGCAGGCTAATCAGTCAGAATTCTCGAGCAATTAACTTCTATCGGTAGGCGTCTTCGAGTGATCGAGTTAAAGTCCCCTCCGCGAAGTGCTTCGATGTCGAAGCACGTCCGATGGAGCCGCGGGTCCGACTGAAACCGTTGGACGGTCGACTTGCATAGCTCGGTCCCGCTACGCACAGTAATTAGGTCGGATTGTTGCGCGGCAAAGACCGCTTCGCCGAAACATTACGACTCTTATGTGACAACGAATAAAATGATCGTCTACAACTCTCCGGGGATAGCTGGAGGTCGTATGATTGTTGCCGAAAGGATGGAATCGTATTCGAGAGTAGAAATGGAGCACGAACGACTCCGGTCAGTGTTCCGTGAGGATGGCTCGCGGTAGCTTAGACTCGTTCGTACTGCTCGTAGCAATAGTAAAGTAGCGATTTATGCTTGTCACTTCAGCTTCGAATCGTTCGATTTCAGCATTTGCCCTTGCCTAACGGCTGCTTCGACGAGACGCGCAGAGTCCGCAGCTCTGTCTTTGAGGTTTCGAAGGGGACTACAGAGCCCCGTGCCGATACAGACCGCTTGCCCAAGTTTGGACCTTCCTGCGCCAGACTGCCTTCAACCCAGCCAGATTTTGATGCTCACTCGCTGAACTTCTCAACGTTGCTCACAGTGAGTACCATCCAACCGAGGTTCCGAGCCCGACAGGCGAGGTATACTTGATTAGGTCGGCGACGGGATTAGCGAATTTTCCACGGAACTCACGGTTTCCGCTACGACTCTGCCGCTGGCTGCCATGATAACGCAGCGAGAACCCCGTATCGCAAGGATGAGGTTCGGTTCTTCCCCTAAAACTCCAGTGTGTTCGTAACATTGCTCACGGCAGGGTTGCGACTGAGTTTTCACCGAGACCGTTGAGGGAAACACCGCGACAGGTATTGGATCCTCGTCATGACTTCTTCCTTCGGATTCCGGAGATTCTCCGTTGAAATCAGGATCGGATTCCCGCGTTGACGGAGAAATTCATGTCCCATGATCCCTATCGGCAACATGCATGGCGGGGAGCTTTCGGGGCTTTAAGGATTTTCAAAGATCCCGCGCGGTTGAGTCCGCCAGAGAGATGTCTCGACAGACGCTCTCGCCGGCAGCCGGGACTCCGGGTTGTTGCCCCAAAATTGAGGGAAAGCGTCGATCAGGTGCGCACGACTCTGGAGACAGGATTTCCAATCGATCTGGAGATATCCATGCCCAAGTGTTCCAGAGAGCGGTCAAGCCGCGAACCATGAAGCAAAGTCACGGAGTCGTGCCAGAGCTGTAGAAATCAACTATACGGAATATGCCACTCCAGCCAAATCCCGCTCCTACGCGGGATTCCTAATCTTTCGGTGATGTCGACCGAGCCTTCGTACCGATCCGCATCAAATCCGTCAGTCGAGGCAGAGCTTCGCTCCCGTACATGAGCTGAAGTCGCAGAGCGCTGACTCAGGAGCGTTCCGTGATGCTCGTCGAAGGCTCGGAAGGAATAGCTCTAGAATCGATCACGACGCTCACGCCAATTTCAATTAGAGATCATCGAGTGCGCCCAGCGCGAATCGCCGACTTTTCCTTGAAGCTCAATCCGGTATACCGAATCCTAATCATCGACCTAGAGCCCAGCGAGCTCGCAGAGGTTTTAGAGAATGAAGTATGAATAGTTCCCCGTGAGCTCGGCACATGCCACTCAATCTTCCGTATCGTGCCGGCGTGCATAACATTGTAGCTGTTGAACCGGTCCGCTGCCACGTTAACACAATATTCAGTCGTGTCGTAACAGCCATCCCCGTCTTACGTGGCAGACCATCCATTGGTGTCCGACCGCAAGGCCAAGAGGTTGTCGACGTACTTCTTATCGTCATGACTTATGATAGTGTGCCCCCCCTCGTCGGAAAGAGATCCCGGCTACACCCCTTGGTAGGTCCCATTATTCGACGGATGGTCATAGGGGAAGAAGGAGACTCACCTTCCAGGTCACACCGAGCGGGAATCATGAAGAGACCTCAGCAACCGAGATGAGGAAATACCGGCTTCTGTGGGAATTCATCGGAAGGGAGCGATTCTCTTCGTGGGCACTGGTTCTCCACAAAGATTGAACTCCTCCAGCTCACTCTTTTCGGAACCAATTGCTTCCGCGGGTCTTCTCCGAGCGCCGAAGTTAGCTCAGAAGATTGGAGCTTGGTATCCGTTTTAATCAGGAGAATAATCAATTGCCTCAGACACCTCCG